TTTACGACTTTTCAACCTTACAAATAAACTAATCCAAAGCTCACAATCTCAAATTCCGACTCAAAGTAGAATAACTTAGATAACAAACTCACCAATACATCGAACCATCCGAAAGATCTCATCCCACCATCCGAGCGAGTGTTATCTCGTGTGCCTATTGATACATACACGTGTTCGGGCTGCATGTCAGCGATGCTTAATTGTTCTGCATGTGCCGCTGGGCCGCTTAAAGTACAAAAGTACGCTGGCACCATCAACTGATCCTCCCCCGAATCGTGTCGACGAAGTTTGGCGCGTTATGTTACCTAAAATCGATGCGTAACGCCATTAAATATAAAAAAAAGAAAAAAAGAAAAAGTAAGAAAAACTCAAAAAATCTTTTTTATGTTTCATTTATGCATAAATTTGATTTCATAATGGCCATATAGACAATAACAAAGAGCTCTTACCAAAATAAGAGCTTACGCATTCCAAGTCAACAATTCCATTTTAACAAGCCAAGAATTCAAGATTGAAACATGAGATGGAAAAATCCCGGGTAAAATGTACAATTTCGGCAAACCACAAAAAAATTCGGAGCAATAGATTGAAGAAAATCCTAGCCAGCTTGCATTGATTAGCGAAATGGAGCCACTACTTTGTGAATGAAAGTTTCAACACATCAATATTATGGAGTTGCTACGGAACGAAAAGATACGAGAATGAGAAAAAATCAATAAAATTGTTTGTCCCTACAGTATTCGACGAAAAGGGAGTACACTTAAATGAATCATAATGACCAAATATTGCACATATGCAAAATCCTGGATGGCCGACCTTTGTTATTCTCTCTTTCTGATTTATTCTGCGGATCCGCCAACTCTACTCCGATGTCGAACTCCCTCCCAGGGTCAAGCGTGCGTTGAGGAATCCTCGACATGTCACAGAGGGGGGGGGTCGTATTGGCCCGCTGGGGAGAGATCGGGCCCGATTGATACAGTAGGATCATCGTCGGAGGACAAACATTAAGGATCGAATCGATACCAGGCCAGAGTATTTCCAATAACAATTGATTCCGTCCACACAAAATCTTCGTGATTTAGAGGTGTCCGCTTAGCAATTCTTAGTGACTTTAGTGTTTCATCACCACACAAGTCAAAGGATCCGAAATTCGCACGTTTTCTAGGGATATTTTATCTTTCAAGTAGGTCCTCAAATCCAACGAGATGTGAAGCACACGGCCCAGTTGGTTGCGCGCGCTTCAGCTACGGCTATCTTGATAACGAATCTTAATTCAGGAAGAATCAAGAGGGTTCTGAAAGAGTTCATGTTAAATTACAGAGAGGAGTACACTATTCAACAAGAAACGCAGCCTTCAGCGTCAAATTCACAAGCATGTAACCTTTAAAGTTGAGACCCGCTAAACAATTTTACACTTTTTGCAGAGAGAAAAGCACGAGGATTTTGAATCTGCTCCTACTTCAGTATGTAATCGCTCCTGCAAGGAGCTATAGTCGTTGGGATAGTGCTAATGTAGCGAAAAAGTACCTTTCGGCGGTACTCGGGCAAAAATCCTCAACGTGGCCATTTTTAAATAGTGAACGTATTTAGCAGTTTTAGTTGCCTCTAGAAAGAGCAAATCTTCTAGTTTATGATGACGTATTAACTTTCCAGATTGCATGAGTTTGAACGGAGTTATGGCTTTGGAAAGCGTAAAAACTCGCACTCATCACGAATTTTCCTCGTTAATTTTGCAAAAATCCTCAACGTGGCCATTTTTTGAGTACTGGACGTATGAAGCTGCTTTAGCGACCGTTTGATAGAGAAAATCTTCTAGTTTTGTATGACGTATCAACTTTTTGAATTTGACGGAAATGAAGCAAGTTATTGCTCCGGAAAGTGTAAAAACTCGTGCTCGTCTCGAATTTTCCTCGTTATTTGATCTAAATTTGTTATTTCTTATAACTTCCTGTAATTTCAGTACTGATTAGAAAAAGCTCTTCACAAAACTCCCAAATCAGCTTTCAGATTGAAAATTCGTTAACTTTGAAGAAAGTTATAATCATTTGAATATTTGTTCAAATTTCAATAGTAAATAAGCTGCTCCACGGTCAACGCCAAAGTCCAGTCAACACACAGCTGGCGAAGGCTTTTACAAGGCTTCCTTTGAGCGAAAGGGGGACGTGTAAATTGAGAACCATAATCTGTGTAGTACTAGAATTTGGTAAGTCTTGTGGAGGAAATAAACAAAGAAGAGGTGTTGTCATAGTACGCCATTTCTAGTGACTAGTTTGACGTTTTTTGCTCCGTTTCTCGTTTGCTCGTTTGACCAAATTTTCGCCGAAATTTCCTCCAACGTCCTCGCTTGACCCCTTGCTAGCGCTCATTCCTATGATCGGCAACTCCTGAAAACGTGAGTATTTTGAATAAATATCATCATGGTTTCAAAAATATCCTAGCAACTTTGACCCCCCCCTTGCGCTCATTGTCATCAATCGCATTAGACAATTCTGCGTAGACCTTATTGAACACCTAGTACTCGTAAACGCTCTCTTGCTATTTTTCAACCTAACACTTATTCGGACATTTAACGCACAGGCAATTTATTGAAACCCCGCAAAACTATTATAGCAAATTTCCTCTGTCACACACTTAAATCTTGGAAACCGACAAAAATTTTCTTCCTTCTTTGCATCTCTACGCTAATTACGGTGAATTCACAGCATCTCACATGGTCCCCGCAAAATCTCGTTAAAACGAAACGTAGCACTCAGTCCAACAATAGGGTAGGAATGCGAAAACCTGAGAAAATTAATATATAGATGGATACTAAGTATTGAGATACTATATAGAGAGATAGGTTTCGAACCGAACTTACAATACACCATATCACGGACACACAGTCGCAAGGTCAGAAGACCATGACGTCACCAGCGAAGTATACCTTTCTCAGCCTACCATTCTGAACTTTTTTGACCGCACTCGCGCGGCGTGAACGCGCCGCCGACTTCGCCCAAAAAAGGCCGAACGTTGAAATTGACAACACGAAGACACGGCCACCCGAAAAAACAGCACTAAGCTCCGAAATTACCGTAATGAGTAGACAGGTGACTCAGCGTAGAAATTAAAAACAACATCCATCCTAAACGCATAAATACATAAAGCCAGTCGACCCACATGTTCAACAATCATAATAAGTTTCCTTACACATAGCTACCTCCCTATCTTACGCTCTAATTCTGGAATCTCACCTTCGTAATGAAACCAAAACACTTTTCAGATATGGACAACCAATTTGTGACACTAACCCGAATCGAGTACGAACACATTCTTAACAGCATAGAAGAGCTCCTGGAACAACTTTCAGCACTAGTCGAAACCACGATGGACCTGGAGAACAGAATTACTCGATGTGAAATAGAGGCCTCCGAAACACTGACACTGTTTTATGAACAGGAACAACGCTGGGAATGAAAAATATCATATCCTTTTTATCGATGAAATAAAAATAAAAGGTTCTTACCACAATCCAACAGGAATGAAGCAGAGGGATTGAAACCCAATGTTATCTAGATTAGTTGTTTTTAATGAGATATATACACTTACGACGCCCATCATAACCTACATTCCAGAATGGAACGAGCCGAGACAGAACAAGCAAAGCGACATCTCCTTGCTCGCTTACGACTACTCAAGCAACGGCTGAACCATCTTCGACTAACGATTGAAGGAATTGAACGACATGTCACCATTCTCGAATGGACAGCGCAAGGACCACGGCCCGCCGCAACGACAGAAGAAGACTGTACCCAAATTAATGAGCAGTATGTTTAATGAAAATGAAGAGTTAAAATGAAACCTTTTAAAACTACCAAAGACTTGATTTCACAACAAATACTGCATGCGGTTCAATACTTTTTGCACCATTAGGACACCTTCGTCATACAAGGCTACTGATACCTCCGCCACTTTGCAACTAAAACAAAAATACAACGATACCGTAACCCAGCTAGTCGAACGGAGTCGGGTAAAAAGACACGCTGTTGAAAACTACAGAAAATCACGCAGAGTAACAAGTATATAAGACACACTCCTACTCACCATCTAATCTTCAATCCTTTGATTCCATCCTTTTACCTTCTACTTTAAGTTCTCCCTTTCGTGATCTCTACTCGTAGAACCATTCGTCATGAACACCATTCCACTTCAAAGACACACACCTAACTATTTAAGTTTAGATATGAACGACAACCACCCTATGCCGCCTCATCCCCCGATGATGTCGGTACAAGAGCACCTCCACCGTATCTACGATGAAATCGGACACCTTCATCATATACAAGCTATTACAATACAAAAACAACAAGCTCTGGAAGCACGACTGACACAGCTGGAAGCGTCGACATACGCATCAATCTCGCTACTACTTCCGACAAGAGCTCAGACGAGCTGAAAGGAAATGACCATTGAGCTGCCACCCGCCAATCACAGACCTGCTTCATCAATTTGAAATATATGTTACACGTCAAATGAATGAATTCATTAAGCAGCTTGTACTAGCACATCAACATTATACTTACCACAGACTCGAAGTAGAGGTTGCTTCTATCTACAAAGAACAGTTTACTTACACGACCGATCAAATCTTCTCAGTGTCTTGCAAGTACAGTACACCTTGCTACAAATTGACTCATTCGCACACGCGCAACACATTACAATTGCTCATCACTGTCACACGATTGACAAAACAGCTATGCTACCGTAAAACAAAACTCTTGTTGGCTCCTCCCCAACATATCATAACTCTTCAAAAAAAAACATATAAATCGTGACACCTTCGCCGGTATAAAAGAGCCAAACCCCCTCCTCAAACACAGATCGACGGCATTTCTCTATCATGCCCTTTCTTCCATTCTCATAATTTCCTCTAAAACGGAACTGCCATTATTGACACACACAATCTTGCGTCTCCGTCACCTTTTGTGTCTACCAAGAATACGACTAACCTCTGCTTTTCAGATATGTCTGATAATCAGAATCTCGACAATATTGTCGACGATAACACTGACGACGACGACAACGAAGATCAACTTCAAATGGACGACGAAGAAGATGAAATTCCCTTCGATCACGACGACTTCAACAAGGCAGAGCCAAGCCACCAAGAACCTCAGCAAAATGTGGCCGACGAGTTAGATTGCCACCCTCACAATGACTGTCACAAACAACCAGGTGATTGAATTCAATTGATACCCTGATAATCATCAACACCCATTCAAAACCCCCCTAGACATTAAAAAGACTTTTGCTTGTTTAAGAAACGCACTCACGGGGAAACATCTGGCTCAATATTCCAGGCGAAAAGGAATAAAAAGCAAATAGATGAGGTATCTCCCCAAAAGGAAACTTTGTAATTACCTCTTCTATTCACACAACATTAATTCAGGATATCCTACGGAACATGGAACAACGCATAGCTCAACTCGAACGCAGCACCCAACGTCTAACGAACGCAATACTGGACCGCGAACGTGACCAACCCCAGCAAAACGCTCCAAACAGAGACAACCGCGATGGAAATCGAAACGATGTTTCACCTCCACCAGCTAACCGACAACCCCAAGTGAACTCTGTAATGGGGACCACTGGGCATCTGAATGTCCACAATATCCAACCCTTTCTGAGAGACGTCAACAATGCCGCCATAGAAATAGGTGCGAACGTTGCCTACGAGAAGCAAATCATCTGGTAACATCTTGCAATGTAGATCTACAGTGCTTCTTTTGTAGACGCAATCGTCGCACTCACCTCATGAACCGTCACAATTCAGCGTTTTGCCCCTACCAATTCCCTATGTGAACTTGTCAATAGCCTTATCCGAACCCACGTATTTGTTCAAGTTGTAATCGAACTCGGTAGTCTTCTCATATAATTGTATCACTTGCTTACTGGACAATAAACAGATTAGTGCGAAACCTGTAACGACAGAAAAAGAAATAACCGCAATTACCAACTACGGTAAAATTCTGTGACAAGACGATATACAATCAGCACAACCCCATAACACAGGAACTCTCCTCCCACTTCAACAAATACTATTTAAAGTAGATCTCTTCCCAACTCACCACCACTTTCACCTGCCGTCCATGCCACCTAGTCCCCGACAACCATTCAATTTTAGAGTCACAAAGCAAGACCTAGACATACAAACCCACATCCTGACAGCACTTATACAAGAAGCTAACGAATTTTGCTCCCCATGGATCTTCCCTGTGGACAACACACAACTCCAGATATTCATTACAACTAAGACCCTCATGGCAAAGAATATTAAAAACAAGATTGAGCAACAGCGAACCACGCTTTGGTCAATTTACTCACAATCCTACTCCGCAATGGGAACAATGAACGAGTTTTTGAACGACATCCAAGGATCCAATATGCTAAGAACAGCGGCAACAGTAATTCGACAACTTGAAAAACGACTATTGGAATTAAGATGCCAAAAAGCTATCGCTCGACAATATAACAACTTAACACGGCGACACCTCCCACTACATGTCGCCCCTTACACTAACCAAATTAATTTCACTCAAGAACAAATTCGAAACTCATCACAACTTCTTCAACCTTTAACTAATCAAGGAGAAACCTCCCCCCATTTCAGTATCCCTCCACTCAGCCAATTGACAGAGTGGACCATGAAACCATTAGAAAACACAACTGCACATGGAGCGAGCAATCAAAATTGACAACCCACACAATATTTCAAATTAATACTACAAAAGGCATTAACAAGACTATCATCCAACCAAAGTAATTACAGAAACTAAACCTACAAAGAACTTCGACTACAACAAATCTAATCCAATGGTATTACTTTATTTTCATTGTCCTATAACCCTCACTTTCAGGAGAAAATTAACTCAAAATTACCACAACAGAAGCAAACTCCACCTCCAAGAACTGACCAATAAGAACAAACTCCACCCCCTTCCCCGCCCATCACCCCAGTATATAAACACGACAATCACCTCACTAGACATTCGTGCTTCAGTACACGCCACCTCTCTTCACGCTCTCGCTTTATGTCATCCTCTCCCTTCAACATTACAACCTCTAAACAAAACTTAACAAGGAGACTCAACAATCTTCAACAACTACTTAACGAAGCAAATCAATATAGCCCCACCTGGACTTACCCATCCGGAGCAACCGAACTCAAGGTCTACGTGGCCATAAGTTTAAGGTAACACAATTGAAGCGACAAATAGAAGAACAAACCAACAAAATATGGACACTTTACGAGTCATACATACAAGCAATTCAATCATCACCAGAAAACAAATCATACGAAGAGGCATTCAATAAGTACTGGGAAGAAAAAGATGGAGAAACAAAACTGTCGCTTGCCACAAATATTGCACAACAACTTGACAAAAGAGCAACCGAACTAGAATGCCAAGACATAGCTATCAAACTTACACAAAACAATTCAACAAAACGCTAACACTCAAGAGACATTAATTCAACCATTAAACTCCTTAGCTCTTGAACAACGACTGCTTAACAGTGAACTAAAAATTCCAGAATTCAACGGCAATCCAGCCGAGTTTGGACCCTTCTGGGAACTATTCGAAGAATTAGTACACAAGCAACCATACTCCAACATAGGCAAACTATCAATTCTCCTGAGCTGTTGCAAAGGAGATGCAGCACGATCACTACGAATGATTCCTCGAACAGGAGACGCATACGAAAGAGCAATACAACAGCTCAAGAACCAGTACGAAGACCCCAAAAGAATTACCATACAAATGATCCGTCAGCTTAAATCAATGAAAGTATGTCATGATGACCCACGAACCCTACGAAACAACTTAAGCGATATACAAGCCATAATAGCCATAATAGCCACAATACAAAAACAAGGAGAAGTAGTAGATTCAACCTACATGACAACAATGGTACTCGAAACATTCCCTAGAAATATTCAAGAAGAGATCGCGCGAAAAGAATTTGACAACGGTACAGAGTGGACTATGAACGACCTTATTGACAACCTGACAAACATTATCAAACGTAAAGAACATATCGAGAGTCGTACCGAACACATTCGTAAACAACACACTCTCCTCTACACACGAACCGAACGAATCGCTTCCACTCCGTTGCATTGGATGTGGTCGCTCTCATAAATTTGACACATGCAACAAATATTGACACTATTCAGCAGAAAATCGACCACCTTAAAAGTATCGGCGCATGCTGGAAATGTTTCAACACACGACACAAAACAATATCCTGCAACAGACCAGACTGCCCTCATTGTGGCGGCCATCACAATCCTATCATATGCCTACGTAAATCGCCGACAACAAGAACAACCCAACCGATTCAAACCTCCCGCAAACGCTTCAAGCGAAAGACCCACTTACATTAAGTAACAGTAATAAGCGACGACCATCAAATTACTATAAGCCTCCACGTTTCTCACCCTTCCGTTCCCTTACGCCAGATAACACATTTGAAGATACCAACAACAAAATCGACGCCAATGGCGAGGCTCGTCTCTGTCGCCAAGTAGACTCAACCAAGGGAAGCAACGCTGTCGTAGGAACACTTCACCCTTCTCGAAATCGCGAAAACGTTAGCTCAACATTAAGGCAGACCCAACACGTGAACGACTCACCAATAAGACACGTCAACACATTAGTAAGTCCCCACTAAGGTTATCAAACGATCACCAACAAATAAAGTCAAATTCGCTCTTACCATATACTCTCAACACAATGCATATCAATTTTCAAACAGTTGTCCATCCACTCTCCAACATTTTCAAGCAACAAGTAAAACCCAACTTTGCTAACTACAACAAAACCAATATTAAAGCTCGATTGATTCTGATCAGTCCTTTATATCATTACCCTTAGCAGAACATCCACAACTCATATATACCATCGCACATTACGACTTCGAAACCACCATCATTGTCAACACATTTGGTGGCCACGCAGAAAGGAAACATGTAACATGCGTCGAAACACTCTTAGTTGATTCTCAGGAACAATCGATAAAAGTCAAACTACTTACACACGACATTATAACACACCCCTTAACCAATTAGACTTACAAGCAGAAGATAAAGCCTTCCTGGAAGACAAATTTCTCCAACAATCAACGAGATAACGGCTCCAAGACCAACAGTAGAAGTTAACTCCCGACATCCTTCTGGGAATAGACTACTTCAACGATATATTACAAGCAAACGAACCCATAATACGACCACCTTCAGAGTTATTTATGACCTTCAACCCTTTTTGGTCCAGTGATTTCCGGAACGACAACCACAGAGCGACACAGAACCTCAACACTTCTACGACCACATTATCCGCACATATACCACCCGCAGTGTTCGTATGAACACTCTGATCTAGACTATTCAGACCTATGGAAACTTCCAGGCGTAGGCATTGATGAACTCCAGACAAATGAAGAGCTTAATAGACAAATAATTGCAAATTTCTACTCCACCGTTCAAAATAGAAACGGAAAAATCTACATACAATTTCCTTGGAAAACAAACAAACATCAACTAGCCGACAATTACAACTTAGCACTAAGTCGACTGCACCAACTATACAAAATGAAAGTCAAAAACCCCAAAGTGTTGGGACGATTACTGCAATATTATAAAAGAACAATTAGAAAAAGGCTTCGTAGAAGAAGCCCCTTACGTGACAAATGCGATCAACCCCATTTACTACATACCACACCAAGCGGTAATAAAGGCATCAAGCGTGACAACTAAAACACGCATAGTCCTCGATGCCTCCTCCAAGATGAAAGGACAACTGAGCCTTAACGATGTAATACACCAAGGCCACTGATTCTACCAAACTATGCGGTATACTTTTACGAGCCCGACTGGGTCCACTAATTATGATTGCTGACGTGTAGAAATCATTCCACATGATATACCTCCAAGAATCCGGAAAGAGACTCTGTGAGATTTCTCTGGCTTAAAAACGTCAATCGACCTCCAACTCAGGACAATGTACAACTTCTACGATTTTGTCGTCTACCCTTCGGAATAAACGCTTCACCATCATTCCATCTTGGAATATCCATTCAATACGGAATTGAACAGCAAAAACATCAAGATGACACCATTACCCAGCGACTTATTGAGAACCTATACGTGGACAACGTCCTTATGCTCGACTATTCAACAGAATCCTCTTCTTGCCACTTACCACGCGTGCAAGAATATATTCTCCAACATGTCAAATGAATCTTCGCCAATTCATTACAAACGACGCAGATTGTAACAAATCAATAGATGAAAAGGATAAATCCACTTCACAAACAACCAAAATATTAGGCATTCCATGGATCACTCGACTGATACACTTTCCATTTTGTGCAAACTCAACTACGAACCAAACCCAACTAAACGGAAAGTCTTACAATCAGCACACTCTACCTTTGACCCGCTTGGTCTCCTAACACCTCTACTGCTACCCGCCAAAATTTTCCTGCAAGATCTCTGGAAACACAAGCGCAATTGGGATGAACCACTACCAGAAACAAACAATAACACATGGAAAAACAATTTGCGAACAGGCAGATGGCTTTACTGAGCCCTTCCACGAACGATTGTAATACAACTCCACAGGAATTCGATACG